TAGCCAGAACGCACTTCTCAGCCTACTATGCAAGGCCCGATTTGCCTAATAAGCCAAGTTTTCATGAATTAATTGTTTTTCGACTACCTAACCTACCTAACCTAACCTAACCTAACTTTTTCGGCTACCTAACCTAAACTAACTTATAAAGATACGTTAGGTTAGGTTAGGTAGGGTTGGTTAGGTTCGGTCATATATCTACGTTAATTTTAACTACAATTAAATAAAATTGACCTCATACATAATGAAATGGGTAGCTTTATCATTTCATAAGAAAAAAATTAGAGAAAATTTATTAATTCAGGAAAACTTGGCTTATTAGGCAAATCGGGTCTTGCATAGTAGGCTGAGAAGTGCGTTCTGGCTACTAGGTACGACATATATATATATTAATAAATATGACCGAAAAAGTAAGATTAATAATTCTAACACGAATTTTCTCAATGTTTCTTACATTTTTCTTCACTGTTGATGGTAACTGAAAAATCAATTCTCCAAAATTCATTTTTATTTCTAGTCTGACGCGACACTTGAGCGTGTTTCGTAAAACTTATTACATTTTCAAAGACTTTAGTTTACACACACACAACTATAACTGAACAGAGCTTAAACATCTTCGATTTTTTATACCTGCATTTGAGTGAGGTGATATGTTACAACAGTTTTGGATGAGGTGAAAACAAACTTTCAACACAAGACAGAACACGGTGCAATGGGAATAAATTGGGTAAATTAAAGGCAAGAATGGAAGTAACTGCAAAGGGCCTATTGGCCCATATTTCTTGATGCTTCTATATTGGTGCGGAGTCTTGAAGTGGGTAGAATAGAGTTGTGCATTAATTGGCTGTTGATTGCTGGTGTCGACTTCTTGATGTGTAGTGCCTCGCAGATATCTAGCCGCCTGCTATCGCTGTATCTATCGATGATTTCCGTGTTTTTTGTTAAGACTTCTCTGGTGATGGTCTGGTTATGGGAAGAGATTATATGTTCCTTAATGGAGTCCTGTTGCTTATGCATCGTTAATCGCCTGGAAAGAGATGTTGTTGTCTTGCCTCTATACTGAGTTCTTTGGGGCTTAGAGTCCCCAAGTGGGCATTTTAAGGTATAGACGACGTTGGTCTCTTTTAAAGCGTTCTGCTTTGTGTCTGGAGAGTTTTTCATGAGTAGGTTGGCCGTTTTTTTGGTTTTATAGTAAATCGTCAATTGTATCTTCTGATTTTTTTTTTTTTTTTTTTTGAGATATATACAAGAGTTGTTACATTCTTGTACAGCCACTAGTACGCGTAGCGTTTCGGGCAAGTCCTTAATCCTATGGTCCCTGGAATACGATCCCCGCCGCGAAGAATCGTTTTTTCATCCAAGTACACATTTTACTGTTGCGTTAAACAGAGGCTACAGTTAAGGAATTGCGCCCAGTAAATCCTCCCCGGCCAGGATACGAACCCATGACATAGCGCTCGCGGAACGCCAGGCGAGTGTCTTACCACTACACCACGGAGACTGTAGAATTTGTATGTAGATTTTTGTCTGTAGGGATAACGTTTCTATTAACAATATCTTTTAGGACCCTTTCCTCCGTTTTATGAGCTGTGGAAAAGAAGTTCCTGTAAAATAGCCTAATAGGGGGTACAGGTGTTGTGTTAGTTGTTGACTTTTTGATGTGTAGTGCCTCGCTTATGTCAAGCTGCCTGCTTTCGCCGTACCTATCGATGATTTCTGTGTTGTTTGTTAAGATTTCTCTGGTGATGGTCTGGTTGTGAGAAGAGATTATGTGTTCCTTGATGGCTCCCTGTTGCTTATGCATTGTTAGTCGCCTAGAAAGAGACGTTGTTGTCTTGCCTATATATAGAGTTCAGTATATATTCAGACCGTCCATTCCGTGGACAGGGGTAATGAACTGAGACAGGCCGTCACACCAGAACGTTAGACACTCCTCGGATATGAACTGCACGGAGAGCCAAACCCAGAAAAACCAACAGACGAGCAACTCGAAGCAACTATCCCCAAAGAGGCAAGAACCAAAGAGAACCAACCCCCGCGGATCAGGCAATGAACCACTGGAGAACAATCTGAATAGAGCCGAATCGTTGAACCCCGAGCGACCCGAACCCTCCGAAGCGACAACCAAACCACCGCAAACTCCCACACTATGCTGTGAGCTTAACGAAAGGGCAGATCCCTCCACTCCTGGCCGGCCTGGTGAGCACTGATTACAAGCCCCAGGCGAGACACGAAGTGTCCGTGAACACATCGAGCGAGGGGCTCTGGTAGGCGCCAAGACACTGAACTCCGAAAAACCCGAAGAGAAAGCCCGCGACGCACCAACCAACGCAAGGCTTCGGAGGCCGAACCCAGCGATTGCGTGAATATGCGAGGTGCCAGATTCAAGCCAAAAGGAAGGCAATGAAACCAGTAAGCCTGACGCCCCACCACTAAACCTAACCAGTCCCTGAACCCCGGATAAATGGGAACGTGCCAATAAATGTCCCTGAGGTCCAGGGACACCATCCAGGCACCTGGCTCCAACAGAAGCCGGACCTGAGATCTATTGGTCATGCAAAAAGAGTTACAAGTCCAGAATGAACCACAGATCTGCACAGTCCTGTTTCAGCACTGGAAACAGGCAGGAAATTCACCTGAGGGACAGGATCGTTTCGCCCACGCCCAAGAGCACCAACTCCAAGATGACCCGACGGAGCGCAGGGAAAGAAGTCTGCCCTGCTACCCCCTGAACCCCCCTAAAGGAGGAGGTGCCCAACACCACCACAGACAACACAAAATGCTCACGAATCGTAGGACAAAACGAGAGCAAACAGCGCGAGCCTCCCTCCCCTTCTGAACCATGAAAGGGCCGATGCCCCTTATGAGAAGCCAGCTGACGAGCAGAGTGATCATTGCATTGACCAGACAACGCCGGTTCAGAAGGAAGTGCTGGCTCAGAAGCTGGCACCAATGACCCACCCCGACCTGTGGAACCTCGAGCATAGGCACGACCTTTCCGAGAAGGTTGAGAATGGCCACCCTGAAGAACCAACAAGTCCAACATAGGACGACAACTAGACGAAACTGCCTGCATAAACTGCATGACAGCAGTCTCTGCAAACACAAATGAACAAAACGGCGATGAAAACCTAAGAGCCAGAGCCCAAGCGAATTCCAGAGAGAGAGGGAGCACAGCCTACCGGTACGCAAGGTGGGAAGCAAAGAACAGAGACACTGCCCCCTTGAGAATCTGTGCAAACTGCTTCAGAAGTGCGGCTGACGCCCGAGCCGGCGAGGCCAGCGCATCAGACGAAGGCCTGACATTCATGACCCCCCCTTCCTTCTCAAGCCAATCCGAAGACAGCTCGAAAAGGAAAAGAAGCGCAAGATTGAAATCAAATGCTCACGGGCGCGCAAATCCTCAGCAACCAAAGACGCCGAAAGGGTGGGAATCTGTACGTGCAGCTGTACAAAGCCAACATTCCTAGGAAGCACAGGGGCGAACAAGCACACATTAAAGCGCTCAAACTCGCCCCCACCCCAGATAAACTGGCAGAACAGTAGAAGTTTCCCGCCATTCAAACGTGCGGGTCTGACAAAACCCATGCCATGCCCCCAACGAAAAGAATGGGCAGACTGCCAGCCAGGAAGACTCCGGAACCTCCGTCCAGAGGCACCCTAAGCGCATGCAGCCCCGGTACACTTATTACACCTGGCCACCTCACCATTAAGTCGCAGAGAACACCACTAAGATAAAACACTGCTGAGCAATCGAGGCCAAAGTTGACGACCGCCCTAGATTGCATTAGCCAACGAAATGGAGTTGCTAAGTAGTCAGTGTGGAGGGGCCAGTACTCCCCCTCCCCCTCCTGGGAGAGGGGAAGGCTGCGCGGACAAGCGGCATGGCAGGGAGGTGTGATGTTTGCTTATTTCCTTGGGATTTAGGGAATTTCTGCTTCTCTGTCCAGTTGCAATTTTCTTACCATATAAGGTTTATTATGTTATGCCTACCTTTCTGAGTGCCTAACACCGGGCGATGGCAGATTAGGAGAACCCCCTCCCCCCAGCCAAGGGGGAGTTTCCAGGGGCCATTGCTCCCTGTGCCTCTGAGGGAGCCAGGTTCTGGCTCGTGGTCCCTGGGAGGCAGAACTCCATTGACTAATGCCCTAGTCTAACATATCGCATATTAGCCCTATAGGTCCAGGGACTCGAAGGGGCCCCACAGAAAAGTTCTTAGTGTCAAAACTGCTCATTTTGTCCTTTTGGAAGTCATAGATAGTGTACTTCACATTGCAAACTTTTAGCTTTAATGCATTAGCCATAGTTTTGACATTTATTCAGATTTCTACCCAGTCATTCATTCCTCGATCTGAAACTGCTGTTGCTACTTTTGAAGCACAGTATGTTAAGTTGTACAACTATTCATATTTTCATACTGCAAGGTTGTTCCACTTATTTCTTTAATTGCAGAATTAATATTTTCTGCAATTTGTTCAATATCTAATTTGATATAAACCTGTCAATCTTAAGTCATATGTTTTTGTTTTTAACAGTTGTTGGGAGTGGCTATGTCCTGTACCAGTATACTTTCACATTTAGGAGATTATGTTTGCAGAATGTTACATATAAAATACTAATTAAGTAGTGCAGGAAAGTTGTATCTGTAAGATTTTTTTTTTTTTGTGATATATACAAGAGTTGTTACATTCTTGTACAGCCACTAGTACGCGTAGCGTTTCGGGCAAGTCCTTAATCCTATGGTCCCTGGAATACGATCCCCTGCCGCGAAGAATCGTTTTTTCATCCAAGTACACATTTTACTGTTGCGTTAAACAGAGGCTACAGTTAAGGAATTGCGCCCAGTAAATCCTCCCCGGCCAGGATACGAACCCATGACATAGCGCTCGCGAAACGCCAGGCGAGTGTCTTACCACTACACCACGGAGACTGCTAATTATGTTAAGTTTTTGGCATGAAAAGTAATAATCTTGGGTGTTTGTATAGGCAGTAAAGACAAATTTCAATACAACCATTTATTTTTGTTGCACATAAGGAGGACAGTGTAACAAAGCTTTATCTCAGTTTATAATACAATCAATCATGAAGGTAACAAACCAAGCATTAGGTCTCAGTTTGCCTCTGGACCATATTTCTTCATACGGTTTTTAACTGAATTAAATACCCATTGATATATCTTAACTTGGTCTTGTTACAATCTCTAAAGCATCTTAAATATGTTATTTCAAGATGAGTTTAAAGCTCAATTAAGATATTTTGCCAGAAAACATTACAATCTAAAATGATTAACCTGAAAACATAGTTCTGACGACACAAAAGCTGCCCATGACTTGTTATAATATAACATTCATTCTCTAACTTAACAATTTACCTTTTTAAACACAATTATTTCATTATAAATGAACACTGCAAATCTTTTGCACATATCACATTTTATTTATTTGGGTTAAGTAAATGTTTACCCTAGAAAGTATATTTAACAACTTAATATAAGAAAATAAAAATACTAGTTATTCCTTTTAACTTTAGGAATTAAAAACTGGCAACTACTCTTGTAAAAAGAAGGAAGTTAAAAATTTCCTTTAATTGGTCAGATTTACTCTTAATTAGTAACACATTATTTAACAAATGTCAGTGCATCATATTGTTGTCAAATATCTTCCTTGTTGATTTGTTACAACAAACATCAATTAATAAAGAATAGAGCTTCAACAATGACTTTGTTGCACAGTACTCTATAGCCACTGGCATTATGTAACCACAATTGTGAATTCTGATAATACATAGTAGCAGTCTTAACAGTATATATACACAGTACATATGTCAAGAGTAAATACAAGATTTGAAAATAAATTTAAATAGCTTGAAAACTAATTTCCTTTTTACCCATTTACAAACAATTATACCATTTTACCATTAAAATATATTCAAAGAGATGTTGCAACCTGATATACTGACAAATCATTTTAAAACTAAAAACAAAACAACTAAGATAGCAGATGGAAGCATCACTTCTGTGTTGGTGTAACAGTTATTGAACCCTATTATCCAAATTCAGTAGCCTCATGTGCTAATTTCTGAGATCTTGAAATGTAACTTGGGTCAGATAAATAGTATAATCCACACTCCTGACTCCAATCCCAGAGATTGTCACATCCTAACAGAATGACTTTAGGGAAAGTTAACTGGCAAGTAAAAAAATTAAAAAATGTCCAAAAATTCAAGAAACCCTTGTCTATCTTGAATATTCCCTTATGGAACATCAAGAATCCTCAGAGAGCAAGACCTAACAAAACTTGCAAAGGTTTCACAAAAATATAAACCTAAGATTGTAAAATAATAACTATAAACCATATAAAAAAATCATAAGCTTCCAAACTCCAAGAAAACCCAAGATCTGTGTAAGAGTAAGACGGGATGATATCTACACATGATTATGAATAAGCGTACTAACTAAAACAAACTATAATTTAAGAATATAAAAAATAAAAATAGCTTTACTACACATCATTTATATTAATATTTATTTACTAATACTACACTGGCAAAATTACCATTCAGGGGATACTACAAATACTGTATCAATAAGCCTGTTTATTTGCTATATAATATTAGGGCACAAGTGACTTAATCAGGACTGTTCACCTTCAAGCAACATTCTACTGAGGCTCACTTTCCATAAATGAAAAAATGAGCCTATGGAATGATGCTCAGCAACAGGGACAGATTCCTGTTCCTATTATGTTACACAAAATTATTAGGGAAGTATGGAAATTTTACTTCTTTGGTGATGATGCTTATCACATGCATAAAATTTTTGGCAGTGGAAAAAATTATGGTCACTGGCACATTACAGCTTTGAACACAAAGTAAAACTGGAATGCATACTGGAATTATACATTTTAAAGAATCCTCCAGCTAAATTATTAATTAAACAGTGCACAAGCTTTTCTGTTATCACAATTGCTTTTGACTGCCAATCACAAGAATTAAAGTATTCAAAAATACTTTTGAACTAAAATATTCAAAATCATTGTAGTCACAAATATAAATATCACTTATAAGATCCAGGTCAATGTTCCAAAAAATATTGTTTGAATATTGAGTAACATGACCTAAAAGATCTGTTCTATCTACTCATTCATTACATGTTTCCCTCTAGACTGTTGCCAGTTACAGCAACAGTGGTTAAAGCATAGCAAATTATGCACAACCTTCTGTACGTTTCTTCTTCAAGGCTAACCCGTATTGAAAACACAAATGAAAAGACAACAAATATTTGTTAAAATAATGAAAATATACCTATGAAATGTTTTTTTTTTGTCTTGTTCAGTGTTGTGGCTGACACAAAATGTTTACTAGGCATTACAGTAACCAACCATCTTCACATCTCCAAGTCCTGAAAGCTCAACACTTTGCCTACAGTACTATATGGGGAATTATGAATGCTGGTTTGGTTGTAAAATAAAACAAGTAGTTCATCTATTCTCTCAATCAAGTTAAATGAAAAAGCCATAATCAGCTAAGTTAAAAAAAAAAAAGATTGCTAAAGAATGATATACACAAAAAATAATAATATTTAATGATAAGAGCAAGTCCCAGTGTGACTTAAGCAGAAATATAAGTTCAAGATATTAATAATCCATGGGAAAGACAATCCTTTCATTCTAGGATAATGCTTTCATAGGTAGCAAAAGCTATCCTGGTAAGAGGATAACTGCAGATCATTGTGAGCTGACAATAATAAAGTACATATTTCATCACTTGTTTAACAAATATTGTTAACATTACAAAGTTTCTAATTTGGTATTCAATACGAGGCACGTGATCATCATATAATGTCTACTGAAAATATAGACAACTAATTAATAACCAGACAGCAATACTACTAATGTCATCAAACTAATACACCTAAAATAAGGGTATACTGGAGGCAACATTCTCCCATTTTCCTAACCATTCACCTTTAATTATTAACAGAGGAATCATGAAAACATCTCAATAATAGCATTACCTATTATGTTTCCTGGCATTCACCACAGCTACAAATGGGTCAAAACAATATGAACTACCAGGTCTTTGTCACAGTTCAAACTGCAGATTTTTTCCATGATTCCTTGCAGGGTTACATAGACACACATACAATACTATCAAGCACAAATGAATTCATCTTCATGTGCAAAAGTGCATAGCATAGATTAAAATTGTAGCAGCAAGGCAATCAAGAGTAAGATATATGTGTAAAGTCTTATCCCAATGAAATGCTAAAACTGACACATCAAGCTCTAAAGAGCCTCAAAGATCAAATTTAAAATGTTAAATTGAAATTTCTTAATTTATAAGACTAATGTGCTTATCAGTCATTACCGTAACACATCATGTGAGATATTCAACTTTAAACACTCCATAGGAGCCTTGAGAGATGTGAAGGCAGTAGTAATCAACAGTTGGTCATGTTATCCTATCACAACTTTGCATATTGCACAATGGCTACCTGGATGTCACCTACATGTATCTTGTGTTACCACCATCTGGCAAGACAATTCATAATTGTTTACTGAAATTGTTATATTATTGTAAACATGTCATAGTCCCCACAATTAATTTGTGCATGTATATTTATACAAAATATGTATCTTTGTATGTATGGAATCAAACAGTCCCTTAACCAGGGTCTAATTATTTTCAAAGTTTTTGATAATACAGATACTGAAATATTAGTTACTCTTAAAAAAGGGGTAACATATTTACTTCATATACAGCCATATTACAAGTGACCAAAGAGATCCACGTTTACAAATATACTTGAGACCATTTCTTCTGGTTGAAGTTTCTTACCTTCTCCATAGTTATGTCTAAGTGTTTCTTAGTTTTGTCTGAAGATTAAAGAAAATAGATATTCACATCTTGAATAATAAAATCTAGTACGACATTTAGACGCATGCTATCATTGTAAATATCAAGTATGTGATATTAAGATTATTAAAAAACTTCATAAAGAATAACATCAATTGCTAAGCACCCAAAACTAAGTAAAAATTCAAGCTATTTAAATTATAGAAGACCCTCAGGCTTATGTAGCTATAGTAGTGATCGTTGAGCTTAACAAAATGTCCTAGTTAAACGAGATCTATTTGTTAGGGACTTTAAATTTGTTAAGCTGGTCTTCAAGCTCATGAATTTGTCGATCTTTGATGATAAGTTGACGTCTAAGAAGCTTGAGTTCTTCACACTGGGCAGTGTATGCTCTACGTAGCTGAAAACATAAAAACTGTTAGATATAAATATAATTGTACTGTAACATATTTTATTCTGAAAAATTATAGATGTCATACATAAGAAAATATTGTTGTAACCTAGGAGGGTCTGCACAATGAAAATTGTTAACATGATGCACAAACTACAGTACAATATACACATAGTATCTTGTAGTCTTAAAACCAAAACAATATGCTGTACTTTAAGTAAATACCATACAGATATTTAGTAAATATTTCTTTGATAAACATTAATGAATATATGGTACATGAGTAATACTGTCAAAGTTATAAACAATAATAAAAACATTAAATTCATAGCAGTATCTAAAATATAAATAATCCAGTAAAGCAGTTTTAAATCTTACACACAGCATAAATAAAAATCAGCTGATGAATAAATACATGTTTTAAAGCATTAATTATATTACTACTCCAGCAAAATTATTATACAAACAAATGACATGCTGCTGAACAACAAAACTACCACTCCATAATTAACAAAGACAAGCTAAGCAATGATATATAAGCACCATAGAGAAAAACAATTTACACCACCAAGGAATCTAAAATATGAAAATGGGTAAATATTTTGGTTCTAGCAATATAAAATGCAGGGCACTAGTCATCTTAGTTAAATTAAATGATCAAAACCATCTTTTATAAGTTAAAAGGAGTGGTAAACAAAACTATGCTTACACTACAATAGCCAATCTCCTTAATTTAAAATTCTCATTACTGCACTAGATATAGTATTGCACAAAGATACCTATAAAAGTCTTACAAATTCAATATGTATAATATATGATAATACTATAATAAGTACAATAATGCAGCATTTCGGTGACGTTAACAAATTAAGTGAAAATACACCTCTGGTAAAAACAAAATGTTAGTGATTTCATCCTCTATTATCATTATTCCTATTCTGTTCCCACTTTCATACATCCACAGAATTATCAAAAGAAAGCACCAAGCCCAAGCCTTCTGTGTCACAGAATATTAAAAAATTCTTAGATATCATTCAGGATAACGAGAGAACAAAAAAACAGCGTTGAATGTAATGAAACACCATTTTCTGGGCGAGTCCTGGAGACTCCCCAGAGCTATCCAGGCTGATATGTATTATATTAGCTTTCTGGCATCAGTCAATGTGTATGGAGTTCTTGCCAACTGGGGGACCACGAGCCAGAACCTGGCCCCCCTCAGAGGCATGAGGAGCAATGGCCTGTAGAACCACCCCCACCCCCCCATGTGGTTGGGAACATTCTATGTCTGCCATCAACTGGGTCTGGCACCCAGATAGGTAGGTGCTCCAGAACAAACCCTTATTCAGGTGAAAATATTGCTACCGAAAGCCGAACGAGTGGACAGAATTCCCCAAACAAAAATTAGCAAACGAGCATGATGTCATCATGTTGCTGCGCCGCTGTCTGTGCTACCCCCCCTCCCCCTCCCGGGAGGGGAGGGGGAAGGGGGAGCCCCAGACCCCTCACACCAGCAATTCAACCACCAGTTCTTAGGTTAGATTTCAAAAACACGCAAAAAACACTTCCGACTGGACGGAGGGAGGGATGCAGGGGAGCCTCCGGGACTCGCCTAGAAAATGGTGTTTCATTACATTCAACGCTGGTTTTCTGGGGGAAGCCCCTTCAGCTCTCTGGAGCTAACTACCCAAAGACAAGGAAAAACATAGGGACTTACCAGGGAGGCGGTCAGTCCTCACTCCTCAACGCAAACTTAAGACAACTGGTTGCAACCGTCAACCCAATGCAACGCAGGCCTTACCAGGTCCAGGGGCATTAACAAGGTAACAAGTAGCCAGGACCCTGTTCGTCCTCCAAAAATGCCATGCCCGTATATCAACCCAAGACATGTTGACAAAGACGGCAGCCAAAGCAGCAAACTTACGAACGTCGTGGGCACGGGGATACCACCACAGGCTGGCTAGACTTAATAACCTTGCGTACGACATGGGAGACCCGAGCCTGGGAACAGGGAAGGAGGGAAACCGGGTCAACCCAAAGCGCATCCCCGGCCACTAAAGCCGTGGCGCGCATATAATGGAGGAGAGCCACAACTGGATAAAACATATGATGCACCCCCGGCCTGACCAACCAAGCATCAACAACCCGAGGACTCCTACGGAAAGCAGCAGTCTCATTCTTTGCCAGAAAAGAAAGAGACACCTGCAACCAAACAAACCTACCACCAGGACCAAAGGAGCAGAAACCCCTGCGCCGCAGGAGAGCATGAAGCTTCCCGACCCGACCCCAGAGGCCAATGCCAACAGGAAAGGTGCCTTAGGAAAACAATCCTGAACCGAAGGAGCCACAACAATCCGAGGACGAGAGAGAGCACCCGGTCCAAAGACCAGGACTGCTCAGGAGGCGCATAAGCAGACCGGAGTTGAAACAATGCACAAGACAGCTTGTAGAATGGGGCAGAAGTAACCTCAATACCGAACGCAAGGTGGAGCGACTTTGCCAGTGTTGTACGATACGAGGTGACAATATTCGGCATAAGATGACGGTCCTGGAACAACCACCAAAGGAAGGACAAGACAACCCTATCAGAGACTGAAGGACACCTACACAGTGATAGGAAAAACCGGAAGGCCCTCCAGGAAACGTCATACTGCCGTTGAGACGAAGCTCACAGGTGGGAGACCATGCCACAAGACATAGAAACAGAAACCAATGCAGGAGCCAGAGGCACATGACCTGCCAATATCACATCAGCCAAGAACTGGCAGTTGGATCGCCGGCATGAGGGTCTGGGGCTTTCCCTTTCCCGTCCTAGGGAGCAGATGGCTGAGCGGACAGAACACTGGACGCGTGATCCTGTGGTCCCAGCGAGAAACAATGGGCAGAGTTTCTTTCACCCTGATGCCCGTTACCTAGCAGTAAATAGGTACCTGGGAGTTAGTCAGCTATCACAAGCTGCTTCCTAGGGGTGGAGGCCTGGTCGAGGACCGGGCCGCGGGGATACTAAAGCCCCGAAATCATCTCAAGATACCCTCAAGATAACCTCCTAGGGAGGGGAAGGGGGATTGCGCAGACAGTGGCGCGGCAACGTGATGACGTCATGCTCGTTTGCTAATTTTCATTTTGGGAGTTCTGTCCACTCATTCGGCTTTCAGTAGCAATATTTTCACCAGAATAGGGGTTTGTTTTGGAGCGCCTACCTTTCTGGGTGGAAGACCCTGTCGATGGCACACATAGAATGCTCCCAACCATATGGGGGTTTCTGTGGGCCATTGCTCCTCGTGCCTCTCTGAGGGGGCCAGGTTCTGGCTCGTGGTCCCCCAGTAGGCAAGAACTCCATGCACATTGACTGATGCCAGAAAGCTAATATAATACATATCAGCCTGGATAGCTAATTTGAGCCAACGGGGCTCCCCCCAGAAATATATAAGATAAGTGAAGTCAATGATATCAAATTCACTGAGAACCAAGGATAATGCATTTCTGACAGTGAGGTGCCGGTCTTTTTTCCATAAGTGCTACTAGTTAAGTGTCTATGACAAATATCTATCCTAGCCAGAGACCTTTCCTATTTCTTGTTTTGGTGGCAGGTGGAATGCCAAAGGGGTTACATTTGATAGTACATAATAAATATCTCTCTCTCCAATAGTTGTGAATGGCATTATGAATAATGGTAGAATTTCAAGCAAGGCATTTGTTTCTGGGAATTACACAGGTACAAATTACAGTATACACTCTATTCAACGACCTATATTGGGCTGTACCCATGTCGTTAAATCCGGAAGTTTTAAAATGTTGGTAACTTTTTAGTGATGCCTGTATTTGGGAGATCGACAGGATGGATGGTGGGTGGGCTGGCTGGCTAGTTAACTGGCTGGTAGGTGGGTTGGTGGGCAGGCAATTGGTCAGGCTGGCTGGATGGATGAGTGGGTAACTGGCTGACAGGCGAGAATGGGGGTGGGCAGGAGGACTGGCTGGGTAGTGGGCGGGTGGGGTGGATGGATTGGTTGCTGATTGGCAGGCAGGCAGGGTGGATGGATTGGTGGTTTACCAACCCAGCTGGTGGGTGAGTAGGTAGGCAGATGGGCAAAGTGGGCAGGATGGCAGCAGGAGGCTGACTGGTGAGTAGGTGGATGGGCTGGCTGGGTCGATGGGCAGGGTGAATTGGTGAGTAGGTAGGTAGGTGGATGGATTGGCAGGTGGAGTGGGTAGGTGCATGGGTGGGCATGCAGGCTGGCTGAATTACTCGCTCTCGAGCAGGCAGGGTGAGTGGGTGGGCAGGCAGGGTGAGTGGATGGATGGATTGGCTGGCAAGCAGGCAGGGTTGGACTTGGCATGTGGGTGGGCAGACACCCATCTGCCTTGTATATATTTCAGGCATGATGGGTTTGAGCGGGCAGGATGGATGGATTGGTGGGGTGGCTGGATGGTGGGCAGGGTGGGTATGTGCATGGGCAGGCTGTGGCTGGGTGGGCAGGTGGGTGGACTAGCTGGGTGAGTGAGCTGGTATGCTGGGTGGATGGATGGACTGGTGGATGGGTATGAGCTGGTTTTAGCGGGGTTCATTTGGATGGATGGATTGGTGGGTGACTGGCAGGGCAAGGGGGGCAGGCGGATAACCACAGACTAGTTATAGCTCCCCCATCCCAGCTACATCCTACCTCCCCATCTCCACACCAGACCCTCCCAGAAATATCCCCCACCCCTCCAGTTGCATGTCGACAGTCAGTACAGGATTAATACAGTATAGTTCAGATTCTCAGCTTCCTTTCCACCAATTGGTGGAAGCAACCTGTCCTGCCTGATACCATTATTTTATTTATTTATTTACTGTATATACAAGGTTACGTTGGGTTTGTGAGTATGCAACGTTGGTGTTCTGTAAACAACATCAGACTCATATTGTTTACAAACTGTGACTGGTTATGACTAATTTGTGACTGAATGCCTGCCTGACTGTGTGTGACTTGTGACTGTGAATGCCTGCCTGACTGTGACTTGACCGACTGCATGGGGCATAACAGAAG